GAGAAGGGATAGCGACTCGCTTGCGGACAGAGCCTGGATGGGGAGGAGCACGGCGGCGATAGTGGTTCGATGATGATGACGACAGAAGATGGTCGATGATCGGAACGAACGAGAGAAAATATTTCCTCCGTTAATGCCGCGCGAGGAAAAAGCAAGGGAGAGAGAGAAGCTGTGACTGCGGGATGCTGAGGTTTGGGAATTTTCTTAAATACTATCATTAGGATTAATTAGGTTTAAATAATATCTTGGCAACCAAGACATTGAACTCACGCACACAGCACGGATTAGAGAAAAACCGGCTCGGCCGGGTCGGTTCTCGGTCTGTTAGACGCTCGCGGGTGGACCGTGTTCGAATGGCTCGGGTCGGGACTCGGTTAAATCGCGAGATAAAAATAGATAATAACCGAATAAATAATTATATACATAATACATATTTCATTATTGTATTAATAATACACAATTTGACACATTATAAATAAATATAAGATTTTAAGCAATTTGACAATTAAACAAATAATAATAATAATAATAATAATAATAATAATAATAATAATAATAATAATAATAATAATAATAATAATAATAATAATAATAGTAATAACAATAATCCATTTATTCATAAACGAACGGGGCGTTACACTAGCTTCTTAATATCACCTTTTAAACAAAGGTGTATTGACGTGGTTAAGAATCTCGACAACCAGGAAACAATGGTCGTTAATTGGGTTCTACAGGCAGATCATGAGTAAGATATATGTTGCGCCATGGTGTTATTATTTTTATTTAATCATCTAGTGTAATTATATATTCCGTTATTGTGTGCTGACATATCTTTTTTTTTATGCACAGTGATGTGATTATATATCAGTCTCTGTCTCGTGATTATTCTGTGAGAAGAGCTGCGGTGGCACGCTTGGCACCGAATATGACAATGAACGAGACCATTATTGATTTGTGGTCTCGTATAATGAACTGCAATGAGAAAATCAAGAGTCATAGTTCAGTGGCATGTTTTTTTGCATCAACGTTCCGTGTAATGAGGTGCATCACGATATATTTTTACGAATTAGACGCATGCGTACAATACTTTTTTTTTAGTCTTTTTGTTTCATTAATGCTTACCATAAAATTTTATGAATCTCAGTTGTTTTTTAAGGGTAAGAGAAAGAAGGACTTAAGCTACAAGAAGTTTGTGGAGATGCTGGATTCAGAGATCAGACGAATGTGTGGCCATAACCCGAAGAAAATTTCTCTGGTATCCTCGATTCAGTTATTGTATTTTGGTTATTGATTATAACGAGTGGCATTACATTGTAACTCTTTTCCTTTGTTTGAATTACAGTATGTGTTCCCTGTGCACTCTGGTGGTTTCAGCGGGCTGTTTTGCACTTCGCCAGACACTCAGAAGCTATCAATCGTAGATAGTGCCGGCTTTTGTAAAGATGCCTCAATCAAGAAATCTGTCTCGTCGCATGTTAAGATTCTGGTAAGGATTATCTCCACTTGTAGAAAGTTAGCCTTTTGTTTTATCACGTGGTGTGGTTGTTCTGTTTTTATTTTTATTTTTTTAACTTTTAATTCTTTACTTTTTTTTTTGGTCTTCTTTTTGTTTTACATGTTAACGTGTATATTTGGTACAACAACAATCACTTTCAAAGTACATGAAACACGAGGGTATGTCAAAGTCTTCAAAAGTTGTCGCACTGTTGATTCTGGACTTCATTGATATGTCGTGGACTGAAGGGGTTGACGTTGTGGATGCCGGCGTCATAACAACGCGTCACATGGAGACATTCAAAGGACGTGTTACGAAAAATTGGAATCCGGATGTGAAGAAGGCTGACAAGAGGCAGATTGACCTCATGAGGAAGCGTTATTGCTACGTCATCGCGTTCGCTCCATACAACAATGTGAAAGATACTAACCTCACTGAATCAAAGAGGTTCCAATTGAAGAAAGGTGTTCCTGCATGATGTGATGTTCGTTTTTTTGGAAACGTTAGTCGTATTTGCTGGCATATTTTGCTCTATTACATATATATGTAGGACTTAACGTTTGGTACAACCGTCTGCCACTTGATGTTTGTTTTGCTTCTAGCACTATTGTTTTGGATGACTATTCTAGTAGTTTGTCGTGACTTGTTTTTGTCGTTTTTTTGGCATGGTAGCACTTTTAGCTTTTGTTTTGTGGTGGATGAACGACGCGATGCGGTTATAAATATTATGTAGAACATGTGTTCGGTTCAAGGTTTGTGGATTACGAGACGAAGTTACTGATGTTATTTTGGTGCACGTATATGAAGTGCGACGTTACATTCTGTAAAGTGCTACGATGTGATGTATAGTGTGCAATGTGACGACATATAAAGTGCACTAGTGTAGCATATACACATTGCTCGTGTCGCTAGACGTGTGATTGTTGTGATATCGACTTGTTGCAATAACAACCAATTATATTGTATTTTTTCATCAGAAAATACATGTATGTATTAGATTGTTATAGGGAATGATTTCGTAACTGTGTAAATACACGGGGCCATGCCCTACTTTCTTTAATATACCGTTCATACACTTTCCATATGGTATCAACCCATGATTGAATCACTGATCAGAGATTTTCACGTGTCGACTACATATTTCATATCGTATCATGTCTTTTTCCGAACTAATAATATTCTCAATGTGCAAACACATCAGACGAAAAAAGAGTGCAACACGACGCTGACAAAAGTGCAACGCAATATTCATAAAAGTGCGACGTATTATAAAAAAAGTGCAATATACATATTGTATCCGCGATAGATGTGCACAACAACATACTGTATAAACGACCTCTGACAACCAT